GACGCGTCTGCCTCCGCGACCCGAAAGGAGAAGCGTCCATGGAGGATGATGATGACATCGGCAGCGGTAGCATATCACGAACCTGTATGGGAGTTGGACAGGTGTTCACGCAGTTCTGATGTACAGTTTTCAAACTGACCAACAATTTGTCGGAAGCGACTGCCCAGCCTAACTACACAGCATGGATTAACGCTTAAAGTTGGTATCGCCGATAGACTTACTTTCCAGCCAGTCAAGCTGAACATTTTACCGGCGCTGCCTATCGTGATCGTCTGACTCCACATATCTGGCAAAGACGCTAAACAGCGCATCGAGAAAAGATACAGCCGTAACCGAAAAGTACCGAAATGGATCATCTTAGCTTGACCGAAAATGAGCCATCCATACACTTCGTCAGCGATCACAATTATATTGTGTCGCTTCACGAAAGCAGCGATTGATTCCAACTCTCCTCTTGTGAAAACCTAGAACCACAAAACCGTATGTTAGCAAGGCTTTTACATTAATCAGCTTCCAGACAGTTCATACTTTTCCATTCGGATTCATCGGATTATTGAGGTAAAGAAGTTTCGTTTTAGAACTAACACATTTCTCAAGATCATCTGGATCGAGATAAAAGTCGCTGCTCGATAAATACTTGCCGGTTTTCGCCTTCTGCAAAACAAAAAGTCATGATAGTGGTTACAAAAACGACATGAAACTGTCACCTGCCGCAAAGAGATATATTTTGGTACACCACCGGCCATTCTGATCTGCGGGTCATAACAGTCGAAAAACGGTTCAATCAGGATGACCTCAAACAAGCGCAGTGAATAGGACTTTGAAACGTACAAGGACGTGTAATGAATTGCAAGAACAGTAAAATGTCGATAATCCGGACGTCAATAATCCGGGAGTCGAAAATCCGGATTGCCTAATTAGAAAAACAGCGGAGTAAGAATCGCAACATAATTTAAAGTCAACGAGTTCGCATCTCGCGTTACTACCCCATCTGCACTTGGATTCAAACACCTAAGATAACCGCGAACGAATGTAATATGGGAGTGGTGAATTGACAGATTTGTCATTAACTCCCTCCAATGACAGGAGGGGGTAACGTCGGCGAAAATGAGACTGTCAGTGATGATAAGTTTTAAGTTACGAGAACAGAGTTGTGCATTTTGCTAGTTGCCATTCTACTCGTTTCCCTCTACGCCGGATTTCTTTACATAGGACTTTTATCCGTACTTTCTGGAGTGGGGGCAAGAACTGCCAAAAAGAAACAACTTCTTAACAGTCGACAAAAATAGAAATTTTAGAGAAAATATCAAAAGGTAACTGGTACATCTAACACCGTCGTTCCGATCCCAAACCCGGATCAGAAAGGAGGAGGGTTGGAGACCGCGGCAAGTCTCCGGAAAATTCAGCCACCTGCCACTCATGGTATTGACGCCATCGAAAATTATACAGGCTCGGTCGTCGCCCGGGTTACCAAGGGACGCGCAGGCTGTTGGAGGACTGAGGCAGACTGCGAAAAATCGGCGATCAGAACCTGCTCACTGCCCTCTGCCAGCCGGGGGCGTAGCAGCACAACGACGGCGGACGAAGACCGGCGGAACGACGACGAAAATACCAGTCAGCAACGGAGTCGCTACACGTTCTGAACGGAGGAGGCAGACAGTGCGATGCCATTACAGCACGTCAGAAAAGGCTCGAGAACGACACCACCAGTGGGAGCTGAAAGTCGGAAAATGGAACATACCCTCACTCAGAGGAAACGAACCTGAATTACTTCATGAGGCCATTAAGTACCAACTCGACATTGTTCGACAAAACGCCCAGGCTCTGGACTCCTGAACCTCAATGGAAGGAAGCTGTTCTACCTAGGCGTCGATATCATGACTCGCTCTAAGGCCGGTGTTGGCGTTCTGGTACAACCCAACATTGCGGACATAATTATTGATTGAAAGCCTATCAGTGGAAGGGTGGTAATCCTCATCCTGAAGCTACAACAGGCTAAATCGATGACCTTGGTACAGGTCTATGCGTCCACTTTCAAGAGAGAATATGAGACCTTCCTTCAGGAAGTGCAGTGCGCTCTGTCGGAAGTACCGAATACACAACCATTCATACCGATTAGCGATTTTAACGCGCACGTCGGAGTAGACGCTGAAAAGCGCAACGGCGTGATTGAAAAAAACGGCCCCAGCGACCTCAACAATAACGCCATGAAGTTCTTGCGGTTGTGTGCAAATAACGGATTGTCCATTATGAACACCTCCGAGCATCGGAAAGTGCATCAGTACACCAGGAACCGGGAAGCTTGTGCAAAAAAGTCGATTAGCGAACTGATAATCGTATCGTAACTCCGCCATGGCCGGTCCCAAGCCCGGATGAGAAAGGAGGAGGGCTGGAGACCGTGGCAGGTCTCCGTAAAATTCAGCCACCTGCCACTCATGGTATTGACAAATTCGAAAATCATACCGGCCCGGTCGTCGCCCGGGTAACCAAGGGCCGCGCAGCCTGCTGGGGGACTGAGGCAGACTGCGAAAAGTCGGCCATCAGAACCTGCTCATTGCCCTCTGCTAGCCGGGGGCGTGGCAGCACAACGACGGCTGAGGAAGACCGACGCAACGACGACGAAGATACCAGTCAGC